TCCTTTAATTGGAAAAAACTCCCTTGTACCCTCGCGGGTATGTAAAAAGGAGGTGTGACACCCGTTGCCGCACATTGATGATTTGTTTGACCAGTTGCAGGGTGCTAGGGTGTTCTATGAGATCGACTTGAGATCGGGGTATCATCAGCTGAATATTCGGGACTCAGATGTCCCGTAGACTGCTTTCCGTACTAGATATGACCATTATGAGTTTCTAGTAATGTCCTTCGGCTTGACTAATGCCCCGACGGCGTTTATGGACTTGATGAACAGTGTGTTCAGACCTTATATTGATTCCTTTGTTATTGTCTTTATTGATGACATCTTGATCTACTCACGTAGCCTGGGGGAGTGATCGACTCCAACCATGTGCCACTACATTGCAAGAGTGGTCGATGCAACTTTTACCCAAAAGGTTGGGATCGAATCCACAGAGAGTTAATATTGGTTTGGAATCGGGTTTCTATCCAATCTAGCTACATGCGTTGTTCTTAATTGTACTTCTAAACATATTTGGGTTTGTTACTATACTACTTTAATGCTAATGAATGCTGAAAATAAGCTAAGTACAATATTTTTGTAAGGGTTTTCTCAAGTAATAAAAGGCACTAGGAAAGTGACTTACACCTAGGTGAGTATCTAATAGGATCTAAAATTTAGGACAAGCTTGTTATATTTGAGGTCCTGATATAATCATTACACATAATTACTCACTCTACACCACTTGGTAGTTTGAGTAACTTTGCCCTAATTGGCTTTCTCAAGCCCAATTGGGTGTTCAAACAATACAAGTAAAATTGGCTCAAGTCAGGTATTACTATCTCTAGGTTTAACCCTTTAATTGAGATTATCAATCTTTAAGTGCACCACAATTCCTTGTTAGCCTGAATTTCCTAGACTTAGACCCTCTTTCTCAAGAAGAGTCTAAGTCATAAAGGCATAAATTAGTGTTTGCAACCACCAATTCTTCAATTAAAGCATGAAATAAGCTAATATCACTAACCTATAAATAATTAAGCCCTAAAATAGAAAACCCATTAAATAACCACACTAGGGCTGGGTCACAACCTTAGCTAATGGGTTTAGCTACTCATAATCAAGGATGAAATCAAAGATGGAGATGAAATATAAGCCATAAAAAGTAATTACAAGAGTAAAATCTAAGATTAATTGCTAAAGATGTTCTAAAATTACTCTAAAAAGCAAAAAGCGACTGTTCACGTGCTCTATAAAACAACAAATACCCTAAAAATCTGAAAAGATCTATTTATATACAACTGAAACTACTGAACAAAAATGCCCATACGGAGGTTCCGCTGACAGCGTAAAATTGAGTGCCTCAGCGCTGGGACTTTCGTGGTCGTGCAAAAGCAAGCGCGGACCGCGTTTCTTCTCTTCTAAGCTTGGTTTGGACTTGATTTAGCTGGGAGCGAAAAATCAACCACCTCAGCGTAGTCTTCAACCGCGGCCGCAAAATATGTTCGTGGACCGCGCTTTTCATTTGAGCCCAAATCTCCAGTCCTCTGATTCTAACTTTCGCCCTCAGCGGAACATAGACCGCAACCGCGTCAATAATTCCGCTTCTGTGGAATTTCACCGCGGGCAACAGTGTCTGCTGAGCCTAAAAATGCCTTCTCTGAACCTCAATCCGCTGAGAGCGTGAATATGGTCGCCTCAGCGGTTTAACTTTCGCAGCTGCACTATTTTTTTGCTGTCAGCGCTTTTAGCTCAGCTTTGGACTTGTGCATGTTTCATTCTTTTATGAGCTAGTTAGGACTTTCTTATCTCATTTTGACCAAACAATGCAAACAAGCATAATAAGTTAGTTTTGGGATTACTTCTACACATTTTTTATCCAAAACCTAAGCAAAAAGGAGTATAAGATAGGCTAGAATCTCTAGTTATCGGGGAGCACGAGTAGCATTTGAGTAGTGCTTCAAACATTGCGAGAGCAGAAGCTATATGCCAAGTTCTCCATGTGTGAGTTTTGGCTAGAGTCAGTAGCATTCTTGGGGCATGTCGTATCAGGAGAGGGTATTAAGGTGAATCCCAAGAAGATTGAGGAAGTTCAGAGTTGGCCACGTCCTACTTCAGTGACTGAGATCAGAAGTTTCTTGGAGTTAGCAGGTTATTATCGCTAATTCGTGCAAGGATTTTCATCCATTGCAACACCTTTTGTGAACAACTAATTTTTGACCACACCCGAATTCTATACTATTTTAATATAAGTATTTCTTTTAGGTCAAATGTTGATATTATAAACTTTTATCTTTCTTATAATAGGTTTTGTTTGAAAAAAATTAAATTAAAAATTACAAAAAAAATGTTCATATACTTAGAATACAAGTTTTATTTCTATTTACAAGAGAAAGAAAATTTATAAGAAAATATTTAGTTTCTTTTAATTAATTTTTTGATAAGTAAGCTATAGAATCTTTTTTTTTTGTATCATTTAAAGTACATGTAAATATTTAGTTTTCTTATATTATAGGAAATGTTAGTTTATCTTCTTATCTTCATAATTTAATTCCTTTATTAAAATAAAATACAAAAAAAAAATGAACGAAACTTACTAAAGTTTGGTAAAAATAAAAAATGTCCGATTCCCACCTTAACAAAGATGAACAACCCTAATCCCTTAACTTCCCCATTTTTGGCTATAACTCCCCTTTCCCTTAGGTCTCTTCTCCCCACAATTCTAACTCCCTCGCGTCCCTTTCCATACTTCCCCCACTCAGCACACTACTTCATTACATCAATTACTACAATACACATATATCTATATATAATTGACACTTCACAAATAAAGAAGGGGGGGGGGGGGGAGACTAACCTTTCCATTATTTAAAAATAGGAATGGATAAATATTGTATATTTGTCCGAATATGTAATTAGTTTTGGAATCCGACCTCAAATTGANAAAAAAAGAAAAAAAAAAAAAACACACACATATAAAGGAGTAGGAACGGACAGAGGACTGGAAAACGAAGAGCAATCCAACCATTCACTTTCTTCAATTTTCTTTTCCTTGTTCTCATTCTTAGAACCCATGACTTTTGCCAAAATAAATTTGGGATTTATTTTCAAAACTCATGATTTGCCTTAAATTTTGCTCATATTTTGGCCAAATCCCAAATCACAAAATCAACTATTGAGCTGATTTTGGGCTAAAATATGACAGTTACAGTTTTTAAAATTCTAAATATTACCCCAAACTTTTATATTTTATAAAAGAGCCCACATTTAGTACGCCCAACTAAATCATATGGGCTCACTTGCCTCTCATTAAACTCACGCATCTGCTTTTTGCTCTATAAACGGAAGAGAACTCCACATCAAATTCTCTATGCCAATCAATTGCAATCCACAACAAATAAGAAATTTGAAGGTAATTTGCTAAAATATGTTAATACTTGTTTAAATTTTCTGCAGATTTGTATGAATTTTCTTTGGATTTGTTTCGCTAGTTTTGTTTGAATTTTCTTCATATTTGTTTTGCTTGATTTGTATGAGTTTTTCTTCAGTTTTGTAAACCCTCCCATGTATATGCAGAAGTCTCTCATCTCCTACATTGTCTAATCTTTGCTTGTGATGACGATAGATTTCTCTCTCTCTCTTTTTTTCAGTTGTGTTTGGTTGAAATTGGGGTCTTGGGTTGGATGGAAAAGTTACTCTTTTCAGCCCAGATGCTTATGACGTTATGCACTTTGGATTTTTGGAAGCAGGCACAACTCAAAAAATAATTTCTTTCCCTTTTGTATAGCATCTTTATGCTTTATTTTTTTGTATCATTCGACTGATGCAGCTAATGTTTTGGCCTTGCTTTTAAAGTTTTGTAATGCTCATAATACCTGAAGCTGGTTTTGAGATTTCCGACGAGAATTTTGTGACTCTGCCTCTACCGGTTAATAGGGTAACATACTTTAAATTTTAATCCTTCTCCTTGTGCTAGTATGCCTTCCATATAGTTTAAGGTAAGTTTTTGGATTTTATGCACTAAAATGAAGTTAGACATGTGATATGTTGTCCTATTATTGTTGTATTGTAGAAACGAAAAAGAATAAATAAACCGCGTGGTTCAATTGATAAACCACGTGGTGCTGCTGCTGATAAATGGACAGATGATGAAACGTCAATCCTCATAAATGTCCTACATGATGATGCGAGGAAGCACGGGTTTAGTGGTTCTACCCTCAGTGGTCCACGTTGGACAGAAATTAACGATGAGTTTTTGATGAAAATTAGAAATGTGGATAGGTTTGACGATGAGCAAATTAAGTCCAAGGTTGGAAGATTAAAGAGAGAGACAAAAACCTTCAAGGAGCTCCTTAATTCTTGCTCCGGGTACGGATGGGACCCTATAACTAACACAGTTACTTGTCCATCTGACACTTGGGCGAATCATGTGAATGTAAGTTTGGGAGATTGAAAAAGTTACATATATTCCACCTATATGCATATTGAACTAACATTCTGTTACAAAAAAAATTTACAGCAAAAGAAAGAGAAGAATGTTTATATTTCCAAGTACAGATACCAAGGGCTTAAAGATTTTGACTTACTGGATGAGATATTTGGGAATTCATTTGCCACGGAAAACCATGTTATGTACAGTACAAATCCTAATTTTTCAGGAATATGGTTTGTGATAATGATAATGAATGTTATTGATGAAGGTTCTGTATATACAAGATATCAAGTTTGTTTGTTTGGTACTGTTGGGTATTTTTGATAATTTTTAGAACTTGTGGGTATAAGTTATGTTTCATGTTTTTTCAAATAAAAAGTGAAATATGTTCTGAAAAATCATGTCCAAACACATTTTCATCTTCAAACCAAACTTCACCCAAATCAAATTTTTCAAATTAAATTTGAGATCTATGGCTAAACGCTAGCTTACATTTCCTGATAACACAACCTCCTTATATGTCACTTTTTTTTTCAATCTCCTAAAAAGAAGTAAGAAAATTTTATCCAATTACTTAATGTGACTGATCTTTCTCCAGAGACATTGTTGTGTTACTCCCTTTATGCCAGATCTCCGCCATCGCGCTCAAAGTCCAAAAGGATGAGCCTCTTCATTAGTTTCTTTGAAACAACTGAAATCTGTTTCTGCCGAGTTGTATCGAAATTGAGATGTGGATGTCGTTTGAGGTCGTAGTTTGAGGTTTCCGGGCAGAATCGAGGTTCTGACGTGGTTTTTGTTAACGGGTCTGTTCAGTGATCTAAATTCAAAGGAAAATTAATCTACTTGAGGTTCATCACTATCCTTTCCTTATATTTATTGACTTTATCTTATCTGGTATTTGGGTGATAGATTGATGCGAATTTCATTCTCATTTATGATATCTTAAACTTAAATTGTCTAATTTGGAAACAAAATTTCATTGCTTGGGTTAGTGGAGATTAACATGATTGTTCAGTAGTACCACAATTTCACAAATTCTCACTGCCAGTATGTGCGTTTTTTTTAAATTCATGCTTAATTAGATGTCCACTATGAAGAAAATTGAAATTGAAAGTAGTTTGTTTGAGAGAACTGAAATTCATTATCGGTGCCTTATGGGTTTGAGTGAATTGAAAAGAAATTGAGCCATAATTGTTTTAAAGCCTACTTTGTCAGTTTAATCGGTAGTAACATGTTTAGGCCAACCATATTTTGGTAGGCAAACCTTTAGGGCGTTCGTGTTTGGCGTGTATATTAGGCACGTATTACTAAATAAATTATCGTGATTATGTATACGTTCGCGTGACATAATTGTGATTTTCAAAATAATTCGAGGTATGCGTTCGCACGACTTTGACCAAATAATTTTGATAATTAATAAAGCGTGATTAATTGTGTACACGTACGCGTGACATGATTTTTTATGTTCCAAATAAAAAGAGTACACGTACGCGTGACTCATTTTAAGCTAATTCCTTAATTACGAATAGTCAAGTACTAAGAGATGTAAGGGTAAAAAGCACATAGGTTCTAAAATACGTAATTAACAAATTGACTAAGCCAAGTATGATTAAAGCGACTGTGCTAAAACCACGAAATCTGAAAATGCCTAACACCTTCTCCCCGGTTAACAGAATTTCTCATCCGGTCTTCTGGTTTTCGCAGGCTTTAAACGGAGTCAAACTTCCTCGATTTGGGATTTAAAATAAACCGGTGACTTGGGACACCATATAGTTATCCCAAGTGGCAACTCTGAATAAAATAAATAATCCCATTTCGATAATGTCACTTTAATTGGAAGAACTCCCTATTCCCTTCAGGAAAAAAGAGGTGTGACACCTTTGACTAGATTGACCCAGAAGGGTGCTCTTTTCCGATGGTCCGATGATTGTGAAGCGAGCTTTCAGAAGCTCAAGACAACTTTGACTACAACACCGATTCTAGTGTTGCCTTTCGGTTCAGAGATGTATACGGTATATTGCGATGCGTCACACGTTGGCTTGGGTTGTGTATTGATACAGGAAGGGCGAGTTATTGCATATGCTTCACATCAGTTGAAGATTCATGAGAAGAATTACCTTGTGCATGATCTAGAGTTAACATCGATTGTTCATACTCTTAAGATATGGAGGCATTATCTGTATGGGGTATCATGTGAGGTTTATACTGATCATCGCAACTTACAGCATTTGTTTAAGTAGAGAGATCTCAAGTTTGAGGTAGTAGATTGCTTGAGTTACTAAAAGATTATGACATCGCCATTCTTTATCATCGGGGCAAGGCAAATATGGTTGTGGATGCCTTAAGTAGGAAAGCAGAGAGTATGGGTAGCTTGGCATTCATTTCAGCTAAGGAGAGGCCACTAGCTTTGGACATTCAGTCCTTGGCTAACAGATGTGAGGTTGGATATTTCAGAGCCTAGCCGAGTCCTTGCATATGTTGTTGCTCAGTCTTCATTATTGGGACAGATCAAGGCTCGACAGTTCAATGATCTGCATTTGGCAGTTCTCAGAGAGATGATACTATAGGGTAGTGCCAAAGAGGTTTCTATTAGCGAGGATGGTGTTCTGCGACTCTAAGGTCGCCTATGTGTTCCTAATGTCGATGGCTTGAGAGAGAGGATTCTAGAGAAGGCACACTATTCACAGTATTCTATTCATCAAGGTGCTACGAAGATGTACCGTGACCTGAGGAAGCATTATTGGTGGCGGCAGATGAAGAAAGACATAGTTGAGTATGTGGCTAGGTGCTTGAATTGCCAGCAGGTTAAGTATGAGCACTAGAGGCCAGGTGGCCTACTTCAGCAGATGCCTATACCTAAGTGGAATGTGAGCACATTACTATGGACTTCGTAATTAGTTTGCCGCGGACATTGCGGAAGTTTGATGCAGTTTGGGTCACCGTCAATAGGTTGACCAAGTCGGCACATTTCATTTCGGTTGTGACTACCTATACTTCAGAGAGGTTGGCTCAGATCTATATTCGCGAGATAGTTCGGTTGCACGGTGTGGCTTTTTCCATCATATCAGATAGAGGTCCTCAGTTCACTTCCCATTTCTAGAGAGCCATACAAAGTGAGTTGGGGACCCGTGTAGAGCTCAGCACAACATTTCACCCATATACCGATGAGCAATTGGAGTGGACAATTCAGATTCTGGAAGACATTCTTAGAGCATGTGTGATTGACTTTGGAGGGCAGTGGGATCAGTTCTTGCCTTTGGTCTAGTTTGCTTACAACAACAGTTATCTGTCCAACATCGAGATGGATCCATTTGAGGCTTTATATGGTCAGCGATGTCGATCTCCTATCGGGTGGTTTGAACCTGGTGAGGCTAAGTTGTATGGTACAGATTTGGTAAAAGATGCCTTGGAAAAGGTAAAGTTGATTCAGGAAAGACTTCGCACAGCTCAGTCCAGACAGAAGAGTTATGCGGATCAGAAGGCACAGGAGGTATCATTCATGGTCGGCTAGAAGGTTCTCTTGAAAGTCTCGCCGATGAAGGGTATTATGAGATTCAGAAAGAAGGGCAAGTTGAGCCCCAGGTTTATAGGCCCATTTGAGGTGTTGAGGCGAGTTGGGGAGGTTGATTATGAGCTTGCTTTACCCCCTAGCTTATTGGGAGTTCATCCGATTTTTCACGTGTCTATGCTTCGGAAGTATCACGCTAACTTTTCTCATGTGTTAGACTTCAGTACTATTCAGCTAGATGAGAGCTTGGGTTACGAGGAAGAGCTAGTTGTCATTGTTGATAGACAGGATCGCTAGTTGAGATCCAAGAAGATTTCTATGGTAAAGGTCTAATGGGGGGAGGGGCAACCAGTCGAGGAGGCAACCTGGGAGTCCGAGGAGGACATGCGGAGCAGATATCCACGCTTATTTAGCACTTCAGGTATGAATCTAAACCTATTCAAAAACGAACGTTTGTTTAAGAAGTGTAGAATGTAATGACCCGACTGGTCATTTTGCTTTCTAGAACCCCGTTCCCCTAAATAAGACTTACCCCACTTGTTTTTACTGATTTATGACTTGCGGGGATGTTGGTTCGGGATTTGGAAGAGTTTGAGTTGAAATCGGAACACTTAGTTCCTTAAGGTTGGCTTAAAAGGCCAAGTTTGACTTCGGTCAATATTTCGAGTAAATGACCTCAGAATCGGGATTTGAAGGTTCCAACAGGCCCGTATGATGATTTCAGACTTGGACATATGTCCGGATCGGGTTTTGGATGATCGGGAACGTTTTGGCGCCTAATAGTGAAAGTTGATTCCTTAAAGATTTTGAAGTTCTTTAAATTTGGTTTGGAGCGGATTTTTTGTGATATCGAGGTCTAAACGGAATTCCGAGACTAGGAATAGTTCCATAATGTCATTTAAGACTTGCATGCAAAATTTGGTGTCAATCCGAGTAGTATAAGTGTGTTTCGTCACATTGAAAGTAAATTGAAGAACTTAAGGTTCATAAGTTTGAATCAATTGGTTTTAGGGTATGATTCCTAGTTTTAATGTTGTTTTCGGTGTTCTGAGGGTTCGAGCGAGTCCGTTTTATCATTCCAAACTTGTCGGTATGTTCGGGGTGGGCCCCGGGCGCCCCAAGTGTCAATCGAACAAGGCTCAAGCTTAGTTGAAAATGTGAGAAGGAGCTGAAGCTCCAGGCTTCTGTCATAACCGCAGGTGCGAGACCGCAGAAGCGGTTAAGCCATAGCAGATGCGGCCATGGGTGGCCAGCCCAGAAACCGCAGAAGCGGTCCTCACTCCGCAGAAGCGGTTGGACCTTGCAGAAGCAGCCCAACTGGCCTAGTGAAATTCCGCAGAAGTGGACCACTTTCCGCAGATGCGATGGGTGCAGGTGCGGCCCAGGACTGCAGATGCAGAAATCACTGAAGGCAGTGACCTTCATTTATTATGGGAGTTAGCCATTTTGGCTCATTTCCACTCTATTGTTGGGCAATTTTAGAGCTCTTGAGAGGGGTTTTTTTACCAAGCTTTTGGAAGTAAGTAATTTCTATTATATGTGAGTTAAATACTTGGTTTTTGGGTAGATTAACACATAAATATTAGTGAAAATTATGGAATTAGAGTAAAACCTAGGGTTTTAATAAAAACAAGATTTAACCACGAAATTCATTATGGAATGAAGTAAAAATCATATATTCTTGATCTTTAGGTTAAAGGTAACAACTTTCTTCGAATTTTTTTGGAATCTGGGCACGTGGGCCCAGAGATAAATATTAGTAACCTTGCATTTAGGGTTGGAAAACTACTTTAATGGTTAGAGTATAAACTCTTGAACATGTATTAACT